CGTTGACATTCTTAACCGGAAGTTGACCATAACTTCATTAATATTGACGATAAATATGTCGTGTTTGTACTCATTTTAAAGGATTTTTAATGAAGATTACAAATATGTCAAAATTGAGGTTGGTATTTTAAATTTGAAGTTAGTTATCATATAATAGAAGTTTTATAACTGAAGTTAATCTAATCTTAGTCACTTTTCTGCATTTTCTTTTTATTTTTAACGTGTTTTTTGGGTCATTTCAATCATTTTTGGTTCATCAATTATAACCTGTAAACTTATATTTCGTCCTTAATTTTATTTTACAACTTTTTAAACTTTAATTTTGTAAATTAGTAACTAATAATCTGATTTCGACTATGATACTTGATCTTTTTTAACAAAACGAAAAGAAATATTAAGAAACTTGTTTGTAAAATGGATAAGATGAGAGATGTTAATCTATTTGTAGAGTCTCTGAAGATGGACAAGGGCCGAAACTGGTTAGACTTAAATTCTATATAAAATAAAAACCAGTTAAACTTTAGATTATTTTCTTCAAAAATTTTACACGAATCATCATTTTGTCTGTAGCTTTAGTGATTAAATTTATGCCACGATTTACAGAAACGCTTCTAAAAGCGGCTTCTATGCTTGTGGTAGCTGTCATCAGTGTTCTGTGATAAAAATGGACAGGCACCAAATAATTTTCAATATTTTGATCCTGTCTATTCTGAGAAGTCTTATATTTTTAGAGAAATTTTACAGAAGTAATCAAGTGATGTATAACGAGGTCCAAATTTAAATTGAAAATGTGTTTGACCCTGTTGGAAAATTTTTTTTATGGACGAGGTCATCAGGAGATCTTTTTTGTCTTTACCTCGCGATGTGGAATGTGGTTCGGTCAGCAGGTAGCGGCACAAATTGTTGTACAATGGGGGCCCTGTTCGTGCCAAAATTGCCCCCCACCCGATTTTTTATTAAAACAAAACCCACCAAGGTTACGATGGAAAGAGTTGGGCGTAAATACCATATAAAACCGACGTTGGAATGATGAACGCGTTCAGTGACTCACGGAGTCTCATTTTACTTAAACCCCCCCAAAAAAAATCGTTAATATAAATTACTTGTTTAGTGAAAAGTGTTTATGTGAAAATTTGTGATAACATGATTTATAAATCGGTGAGGGTATTTAATTTTAAAAAGCCTTGAATAATTTTTTTTTCAAAACGTTTCGGATGTTGATTTTCCGATAATCAGATTACAACTTCTTTGTTTCCGTTCGGATAGTGTCGAAATCCATCCGCTTCTTCACGTTACAAGAATAAACGACCATGTCATAGAAATTCTAACTTTGCTACTTTATATACATATATTATCTATGAAAAATTCATTTATTTTATTATTTTGTTTCTATTCCAGAATCACGTAATCCTTTCCTTAATATTCCTTCACCAAACTTATTCGGCAACATTATCGGACGTTTTAACATTAAACACCGACCCATCATCGTCATCTCGTGTCGCAAGAGATAACAAATACTATTCAAACCGTCAACAACAACCAAATCAACACCACCAACAACCGATCGATAATCAAAGAGATGCGACGACGACGACAAGGGTGTTAAAGCCGGAAGAATCACCAGAAGCTCGTGATTATCACCAAGAAACTTCAATCGGAAAACGTTGTTCTCGATGTGGCGAGGACGGACGTTCCGATTATTATCGAACCTCTTCGCTTAACTCTCCCAGAAAGGATTACTATAACCGATATCAAGATCCGTATGAAACGACCCGGAGTCGATACGACGACCGATACGACATTTACGATCGAAATTACGATCCGAATGATTATTACGATTATTATGACCGTGATGGTTATAGAAGACCATCATCGTATTCAGGATATAGTTCCGGTTATTCTACGGGAAGGGATTTGTATGAAAGAGATCGTTATGAACCAAGAGATACCAGATATTATTCTAGAGATAATAGAAACAATTACGACCGTTCTTATGATCGAGGTTATGATAGATCTTATGATCGAGGAATTGGTTACGACAATATAGGTTATGATTATCGCGGTTATGATAGAAGCAATTACGATCGAAATGGTTATGATCGTAATAGTTACGATAGAAGTGGTGGCGGTTATGATAGATATCGGCCTTATGATGAAACTTATCGTGGAACTTCCGGTTTTGATACTTCTGGAAGAGGTTATTATTATAATAGACCGGAAGGTGGACGATTTGGTGTTTATGCTAGTTCATGGGGTTATGGAAGAGATGATAGAGATAGATACAGGGACCCAGGGTGAGTTCTTTTCCTTGGTTTAGTTATTTAATGTTATTTAGGAACATCTTAATTAAACCGACACGGACTTTAAGGGGGAAGGTGTGGATCCTAAATCCTTTAAGATCCTATATTGCGACACTATTCAACGTAATAACGTCATTAACCTGGATTATCTCGTACGATATAACCCGGAATATGTTGAGATAACAAGATAGGTTTTGTGTGTATAGCGCGTTCTTAATGTTTTTGGGCGGAATTTAATCGAGTTCGAAATACCAAAACCTACATATACAAAATTAAAAAAGAAAGGGAGATTATTTAAAAAATATTGCTTTAAAAAATCGGTTGACTCTGCTAGATATAAAGCCATAACAACCATAATCTCAAAAATTGACCTTTAACTAAAACTCCAAATCGAAGGAGAACAATTTAATACATAAAAATTGTTTATTATAAAGCAAAAAAACATGATCCATAACCATTTCTATAGTTAAATATTAGTTTTTGTTAAATACACAGCCATAAAATCCAAAATCTCAAAATTTGACGATTTGTAGTTAAATTTGGATCTAACTCAAGAACCAAAATCGATGGAGACCAGGTTTATGCATAAAATCGATTCATAATGAAGCAAAAAGATATAATCTATAACCAATTCAAGATTAATTAGTGCTATTTGCTAGATATGAAGCCATAAATCCCAAAATCCTAAATATTTGGTAGTTGTTTGTTAAAGTTGCTTACAATTCAAAAACTGAAATTGAAGGAAAGTAACATTGTGAATAAAAATTATTCGTAATAATGCAAAAGACCATAATCCATAACAAATTCAATTTTAGTTGTTACCATTAGCTAAATATAAAGCCATAGACCTAAAAATGTTAAAAATTCACGTTTTGGTTACCAAAAGTAGTTATAATTCAAAAACTAAAATCGAAGGAGAATAACTTTATACACTAAAATTATTCATAACAAAGCAAAAAATCAGAATCCATAATCAGTTTATAGTTAGCTACTATTATATGTTAGATACAAAGCTATAAATCATAAAATGTCAAAAATTGACGATTTATAGTTAAAATTGGATCTAACTCAAGAACCAAAATCGATGGGGTCGAGGTTTATGCATAAAATCGATTCATAATGAAGCAAAAAGATATAATCTATAACCAATTCAAGATTAATTAGTACTATTTGCTAGATATGAAGCCATAAATCCCAAAATCCTAAATATTTGGTAGTTATTTGTTAAAGTTGCTTACAATTCAAAAACTGAAATTGAAGGAAAGTAACATTGTGAATAAAAATTATTCGTAATAATGCAAAAGACCATAATCCATAACAAATTCAATTTTAGTTGTTACCATTAGCTAAATATAAAGCCATAGACCTAAAAATGTTAAAAATTCACGTTTTGGTTACCAAAAGTAGTTATAATTCAAAAACTAAAATCGAAGGAGAATAACTTTATACACTAAAATTATTCATAATAAAGCAAAAAATCAGAATCCATAATCAGTTTATAGTTAGCTACTATTATATGTTAGATACAAAGCCATAAATCATAAAATGTTAAAAATTGACGATTTATAGTTAAAATTGGATCTAACTCAAGAACCAAAATCGATGGAGAACAGGTTTATGCATAAAATCGATTCATAATGAAGCAAAAAGATATAATCTATAACCAATTCAAGATTAATTAGTACTATTTGCTAGATATGAAGCCATAAATCCCAAAATCCTAAATATTTGGTAGTTATTTGTTAAAGTTGCTTACAATTCAAAAACTGAAATTGAAGGAAAGTAACATTGTGAATAAAAATTATTCGTAATAATGCAAAAGACCATAATCCATAACAAATTCAATTTTAGTTGTTACCATTAGCTAAATATAAAGCCATAGACCTAAAAATGTTAAAAATTCACGTTTTGGTTACCAAAAGTAGTTATAATTCAAAAACTAAAATCGAAGGAGAATAACTTTATACACTAAAATTATTCATAATAAAGCAAAAAATCAGAATCCATAATCAGTTTATAGTTAGCTACTATTATATGTTAGATACAAAGCCATAAATCATAAAATCTCAAAATTTGACGATTTGTAGTTAAAATTGGATCTAATTCAAGAAACAAAATCGATGGAGAACAGGTTTATGCATAAAATCGATTCATACTGAAGCAAAAAGATATAATTTATAACCAATTCAAGATGAATTAGCACTATTTGCTAGATATGAAGCCATAAATCCCAAAATCCTAAATATTTGGTAGTTATTTGTGAAAGTTGCTTACAATTCAAAAACTGAAATTGAAGGAAAGCAACATTGTGAATAAGAATTATTCATAATTATGCAAAAAACCATAATCCATAATCAGTTTATAGTCAGCTATTATGATATGAGATAAAAATCCATAAATTACAGAACGTTTAATTTAAAAAAGATAATGTAAATTTAAAAAAATCATTCTGTCCTTATTTCTGAATATGAAGACTTGTGTGTATCCTAAATTATAGGTTAAAGTGTCCTTTTTAAAATGTAATACAACATATTAGTTTTTATTAAAAATTATTAAAAGCGTACTAATTGGAAGACTACATTTTTATATTTTTAATAAATGCAAATAAACAGAACGTAAACTTTAAAAAAATCATTCCCCGGACTTCTTTCTAAGCGCAAAGAAATGATTTATGTTTTAAATTAAAGTTAAAACTTTTCTTTTTAAAACGATACCTAACTCATTTTGATTTATAAAAAATATTTGGAGATATAGATGAAGAATTCATAAATATAAATTCATAAAACCAAACGTTATCCTAAAAAAATCGTTCTGAACTTATTTTTAATTATAAAGATATGATCTATATCTTAAATTAAAGCTAAAAGTTTCTTTTTTACAATGATATATGGCTTCATTTTTACTTCTTCACTAAATCATCATAAATACTTAGCTTACTACAATTTAATTATAACAAGAATTTTAAACTTGTCTTAAAAAGAAATTGAGTGGTGGTAATCAAAATTTTTAGCAAACGAAATGTAATCAAGTTCTCTAAAAAATTATTAACCAAAAACCATCTGGACATAAATCTTAGTAAGTCCAACGTTGTTAAACTTTTACGACCAACCGGGCCGTTAAGGACTTATTACATTTCCCGGTTATAATCCGAAGGAAGACCCCTCAAACCTCCTCCTACACCAACTCCCAACGCTTTGAGATGACCGAAGGAGCAGCGCAACTAACTTCGGGACCTCATAATCGGATTGTGGACTATGTTAGGCGAACCCGTGTAAATTGTTGATATCGCCACTTGGACTCAAGGGGGGAAAGTCCATCCCTCGAGTTCGAACCGAGCGGACAATAGAAATCGAAGGGAAAAACTCTTTGCGGCGTATCGATTCTTATTATTACGTCCCCTAGAGCTTGAAAATCTTGTTATTGTTGGGTCGGAAAAACCTTTCCTTATACGACTTTAATGCGATTAAGTAAGTTCAATTTTATGTTCGTACAAGTTGATTTAAATGTATTTTAATTTTTAACTAAACAATTTTCTTTTTAATTTAAAATTTAAAGTCGATTCAATGCTCCGAGATAAAATCCAAGTCAGAGGTAGAAAAAATTTTAACCGAGAACGAATCTGCTTTATTTTTTCTTTTGAAAGAGAGATTTTTGCAACCCAATTAACCGCGCTTTCTGTGCTAATTAAGTGATTAACAATAGAAGTGCACAAAAAATTCGCCTAATTAGATTAATTTTTTATTTATTTTTATTACCTCTTTTTTTGAATAACAAAAAAAGCGTGCTCATATTTAAATGCAATTTCCTCTCCTCGAAGCTCCACATTGACTCACGTCGCGTTTCATTTTATGATTTTCACGGAACCATGAACACGGCCTTAATTACGCGTTTGTTCACACCGGAATACACGAAAATGTCACACTAAAATATCCGGTATATGAAAAATAACGAACAATCACGTGTGATTATTCAAATCAACTATTATTTGAATAGGTCGAGTGCAAAACCTAACATACAGGGTGTTTTACTTAAAATTTCAGGCCAAGTATCTTTGGAATGGTTTGAGATATCTTAGTTTTGTAAGAAGTTGTTGTTAAAGTACGTAACAAAAATAAATATGTTGCTACAGTCCGAAATATAGCAGCTGATGTGAAAAAAAGGTAACAGAAACGTTGTAATCTGCACTGATAGCAGAGAGGCTATGCTAGCGCTTAGTAGGCATCGAATCGAACAATAAAGAGTTTAAGCCAAAGATATATACGAACTGTCCACAAAGCTAATAAAAGAATTTAAACCAATTATTAGCAAACATGTTTTGTCATAAACAAATGTCAAGAGGAGGGAGTCTTTCTGAAAGAACTCAAGCTGGCGAAAATAGATGCAATAACTATAGACCAATATCTATTTTACCAACCTTATCAAAAATATTTGAAAGTGTATAATCTGTTTTTTATTTAAATCAATTGTTAAAGTGTTAGTTGGTATTGAAAGTAAAAGCGCATGTCGTAACTTTTACTTTAATTGTGTGCCACCACTGTCTATCAAATTTGTTAAGATTGATTAAAAAACAA